TAATATTTAAGTCAAAGTAGTTTTTATCTGACGCAAAGAACAACAAATAACGAAGTTATTCATCATTTTTATCATATTTCAGTCAGTTTCTACTGAAGACAAAATGATAATAGGAAAAGCTCCTAATGGTATTATAGATTATTTGACTAGTTTTCGAACATCATCTAATGTTAAATCTGCCTTATTTTGTTTTTGTAAGCTGTAAGATTTTAATTAATACATAATTCATTCAATAAAAGTCCAACATCAAATTAAATGTTCAGTAGCCACTTGGGTGTGGGTTAAGAGAAGATAAACACCCACATCCACATCCTTGTACTACTTACGTAACAATACCCAGAAGAATCTATTATTTAACAGAGTTAATATCTATGTGTTCATGAAAATGATCAATTGAAACTTATCTAGCAGTGCTAAGTATTGACCTGACAACAACGAAGACTTTTCATCTTAAGTTACCAATGAAGTTTACTGACCAAACTCGATGGGTACTACTAACATGTTCATGGCTATTTCAATTGGCTAGAACAGCATAAATACAAATGAAAATATTCAATCAAAGGAGTAAATAAATAATTTTCGTCTTACAATGAGTCTTCTTTTTATTTATATGGTAATACTATGGATCTGCGATTGATTGCCTTCAGTAAGAAGCAAAGAATATAGTCAGAGAACTGCTATTATATATTGAAGATGTGCAGAGTAAAAACAACAGCAAGGCTACGAATGGGCTCAATTGAATAGAATACAGTTAGAATACAAAAAATGTTACACTGTACATTTCTATGAAAGACATAGTCATCTATCAATAAATAACTGATGATGATGTTGAAGTCAACGTGCTTTTTTGTTGGTGAACTCTATATAAAATTATATGAACAAGAGTGTAAAGCTCATCGAAGATTTAACTTATATGCGTTATTAACTACTTTGGCATATTGCTTTAATAAGATTTTCTCGATGATCAACTGTTTTACAGTATATAGATTGTGAATGATCTCTATAAGAGATTCCTTCAAGTAATATAAATGTCATCAGGAGAGAAAAAAGGCATGTGTGATAGTCTGTTGGATATTTAATATGAATAAGCTGTATAATATGATTTTGATTCAAAGTGTAAACAAGTTATTCAAAATTTTGCAAGCATCATAAGATTAATCGAATTGTATTTTGATACATTCCTTGAAATTCCTTTTCAATCATTCTCTGTTTTGTCCCTATTTCAAGGACTTGAGTACTCAACAAAATCATTTGTTAGGGTTCGTTTTAGTCAAATAACAGTAAGAAATTTTTAACGCGATAGCTTCCATCGAGAGATGTTGCATTCTAATTAAGTTTAGAAATTATTGCAACTATCAATTCTATTTTGAAGATCATTAATTTTGAGGAGTACAGAGTTTTAATTTGTTGAGTGTGGTGTACGTGTTAGTCGACTTTACATCTACACCCACATCGACAATTTCGAGTATCACATTGTTCGACTCACATCAATATTCTGATAATTCTTTTCAGATTGAATTAATTGTTGATGATTGTGAAAATGGTGCAACATATAAAAATATACAAGCATAATCTTTGATTAGCAACTCAAATTCTAAGAAAATTTGATTTCAATCAAAAAAATTGTTATTCAATTAATATAGATCAATAAAAACGAAATCGATTACAGAGAAAATGTCAATATAACGAGAAAGAGGAACATCATGGAGAAACAGCTTTTATTTCCATCACTCTTGAAACCATATGGAGGGGCCACAATCTCGTCTATTGTTGCGTGATATTTCATATTCATCCAATGACCCACCGATGACACCTAAAATGTTCCATTATCAGTCTGTATTTGTAAATCATCCTTGATCAGTGCATTTTTAAGCATCTGGATCAACTTCTTAAAGTCAATATTAGTTATGTTAATGAGTGGTATCAATGTATCATTGATGATTCTAAGTAAGTCAGCAACAAGTAGTGCAACGATCATCTGTTTATATCTAGTATTTTTAGGCTGTGTTGATAAAGGTGTTTAGTATGAATATCATCTCCATCGTTCTGACCATGTCATGAGAACTTTAGCAATTCGATGGACAGTATCCACGGCAATTTGATCAAATAGATTTTTATTTTAATTGATTTGATTATTCCATGATATTTGAATAAGATCGATTGTAATTTTAAATTCTTGATAGACATGTCCGAAATTATTCGTTTGCGGACTATTTTGAAATGTATAGAAGGCATCAAGTGCATTTTGTAACCAACTATAGGTTGCTGTCAATGCCGATACACTATAATCCGATTTCATCATTCAAAATGCTCGTAACCAATCTCGTCTAGTCATATCACAAATTATATCCTTCTTCCAAATAAGGTTTGATATTGCAAGATTTGAATGCATCAAATGCTGCATTATGAATTTCTTAATAAATTCCGTTAACAAATAGTCGAATAAACGGAACAAGAGACACTTGGAATTAGCTAAATCTACCATTGATCCAACGTAGTACCCAATAAGTAAATACATTTTTATATTTTATTTACAGATTATTGAATATTGTTGTATAAACGAAAAGAAATACAGTCGAAGCAACTTGACATGAATATTTACGTTCGAGACAATTCTTGTACTAATCACAATTCGATCCATCGAGACTCAAATATTGAATAGGAAACGAAGTCAGTGATACTAATGAATCGTTACAAGCACATGTGTCAACTACATTGCCATTTCTTACATAATACACTTCAGGCATATATGCATAGGTACAATAAATATCTTTTTGATCAGCACACTTTTCTTGTCCTTGTGATTGCCGTTGGATATAATTATTTTTAAGGCAAGTATTCCATTGTTTCTAATCGAAATCAGAGTTGGAAAAACATTTGATACTTCCGGCTAGACCTCTTTGACTGTCACATATTCCTTTGATATTTATTACAACATATGCAAGAATATACAATACCAATTTTTAAGAAGCCATATTTACGTTACTCTGACTTATTATTTTATAATGCGGAAATATTAATTTTACTCTCTCATTATTTGTATCTTCATAAACTAACAAGACAAGAATGATGTCTCTTTATTTATCAGGTAAAACAAAATCTTGCTTATATGTCATGAAAACAAAACATTCGTTTAGTACTAAAATGAAATTTGAGAAATTAATGAAATAATAATAGTATTTTTTTATTAGCATATTGATTGATCGTTGATGTTGCTGCTTTGTTCGTTTTCAAAAAAAAAATTATACACAATTCTAAACAAAAAGTAGGCATCATCATAAAATTAATTCAACGTTTCCAGTTTCTGAATTGTTTTTTGTACAATAATGCTTGATGATAATAAGAATATATCGTTATTCAAAAATTCGGCATCGGGAAAAATTCGTATTAAGAAAGGGTGTGGGTGTGGGTTTGCGTGTGGGTGGGTGTGAATCTTCTCTACATCCACACCCTGATTTAACTTTAAAATTTAAAGCAGATACTTTAAACTTTAATTACTTTATTAAAGTGTTTTCAACGTTAAAGTGCCTCCTGTAGTCATGACTGGTTTCATATCGTTATTTGCATTCGACATTATGCACGCATATAGATAGGGGTGACAAAAACTTTATTCACAAAACTCTTGCTGAATTCGATCATTGTTGACCAAGAAAGATCTCAAGCGTCGCTAGTTGCGACGGATTCTCTTCGGCAAGTGCGCGCTTTTTAATCATCTTTTTTTTCAATTTCCTCTCGACTGATCTTTTTGTTGGCCTACTTTCTTTATC